AAAAACACAGAACTCAAAGATATGGGAGATCAAACTCTCACGACAAATACTCAAGGAGAGAACTCAATCCTTGCCGACCTAACATCCAGAATGTCCCGGATGTTAAACCTGCATACGATTGTAGCAAACCACGACACAGCTTGCTCGCACCAATTGGTGTTAAGTTGGATGACACCAATTATGGCCTTTGGTCCCAAGTTGTGGAGATGTACATCTCCGGCAAAGACAAGTTGGGATACATTAATGGAGATTTGCCACGACCGGAAGAAACGAATCAAAATTTCGGAAGATGGAGAACGGAAAACGCAATAGTGAAGGGATGGCTAATTAACTCTATGGACCCTACGTTGATCGAGCAACTATATCGGATACTCAACAACGAAAAGAGGTATGGGACGCCATTGCCATGACATACTTTGATGGAACCGACACCTCACGGGTTTATGATCCGAAAAGGAAGGTGACAAGGCTAAGGCGAACGGAGGGGCCATTGAAACATACTACAATAATCTTCAAGGTTTATGGAGGGAAATAGACTTTCGTCGTCCAAATCCTATGAGTCGTGCTATCGACATACGGAGGTATAACTCTATGGTGCGGGAAGATAGAGTGTATACGTTCTTGGATGGATTAGATGATCGGCTAGACAAAATTCGAGGAGATGTGCTTCAAATTATACCATTCCCTACAGTGGAACAAGCCTATGCACATGTTCGTAGGGAAGATCTCGAACAAGCGAGTAATGTTGACAAATGGAGAGTCCGTACTCGGTGCAGCTATGATCTCAAAAGGAGGACAGCGATCACAACAACCTTCACTTTTATTATCATCTCGGTGGAAAGTTTAACACACCACAAAAATGGCAGATCACAAGTAAGAGGTGGAGGTTGTACGCACTCGTGGAAATATGAAGCATACCAAGGATACATGCTTTAAATTGCATGGATATCCAGATTGGTGGCAAGAACTTAAGGAAAAAAGAAACGTGAAGCGAGGCCAGTGCGCACGGATGTAACTCCTAGTCGAGCCGCACTCATGAAAATCGAAAGTCCCTCTTCCGTGGTAGAAAACACCGAACATCACCTATCCCTCATACCACAAGGGAAGTCATCGTCCGCCGCAACAAACAAATCTATTGCCCTTAACAGTTCGAGTAACAATGTGTGGATCATTGATTCGGGAGCAACGGACCACATGACCTTCGACTCACGGGATTTGATCGAAAATACTCAACCAAAACGAACACATGTTGCCAATGCTAATGGAGTAACTTACCCGAGTTACTGAGGGCTGGAAGAGTGGCTTTTTCATCTTCTTTTTCACTCGTCCAATACCCTATTAGTGCCATCTCTTTCAAGCAAACTAATATCTCGTTGGACAAGTTACTCAAGAATTGAATTGTTGTGCACTAATGTATCCTAGTTTCGTTTGTTTCGGGATATTCTCACGAAGGAGATTATTGGTCGTGGTACTAAAAAGGAAGGGTCTGTATTACTCGGATGATATCACCACCGGCCGAGTAAATAATATTCGACGGACTAGTGAGAAAGAAAGACGGATCCGGCTATGGCATCGACGATTGGGACATCCATCCTTCTCATACTTAAAGCACTTATTTCCAAGTTTGTTTTCCAACTTACATGAATCATTGTTTAAGTGCACAACGTGCATTCTAGCCAAGAGTCATCGTGTACCTTACCCAATAAGTTTGAAGAAATGTGAGACTCCATTTATGCTAATTCATTCGGATGTTTGGGGTCCAACTCCTATTTCAATTTCCTCGGGCATTAGATGGTTTGTGTTATTTGTAGATGACCGCACACGTATGTCTTGGTCGTATTTGATGAAAAATAAGAATGAGGTGTTTGGAATATTTCGTTCATTTCATAATATGATCAAGACCCAATTTTCAGCCAAACTCCAAATTCTACGGATCGATAACGGTGGGGAATATGGAAATAATGCACTATCGAGTATTTCCAAGCACATGGTTTATTTCATCGGACTTCTGCTCTCAAACACCACAACAAAATGGTGTTGCAAAGAGAAAGAACAGGCACATCCTTGAAATAGCTCGAGCCCTCCTCACAAGCAAGCATATGCACCACGTCACTATCTGGACGGATGCAGCATTACTCGTCTGTTTACTTGATGAATCGCATGCCATCTCGGACCTCGAACCTTGAAACGCCACTTCAAACCCTTGCTAGCCATGTAACATTGCCTTCGTCTTGATGCTACCACCACGAATATTTGGGTGTGTAGCATATGTTCACCTCCATAGAAATCAACGGACGAAGCTTGACCCGTGTGTCGTCCGATGTATGTTTTTGGGATATGAAGCTCATAAGAAAGGTTATCGATGTTATGATCCAACTACCAAGCGCTTGTATGTTACCATGGATGTCACATTTCTTGAGTTAGAAATGTTCTTTACAATACCGCATTCTTCTCTTCGGGGAGCGATTGAATGAAGAGTCGAATATAGATAATTGGAAAACCGGCCGAGATTGGAGAATACAAACGAGTGATGGAGTGAATGGAATAGATGAGATGACCGAACTCGATGGAACTCAACCATCACCGTCACCGAGTGGTTGAAATTCAACCTACTAATTCAATGATAAATATGACTGGACGAGAAGAAGATACCGACAACGAGAGAGGAGATAAGCAAGAACGACCTCAGCTCCGATGTTTTAGTACCACGTGACCACACTCCCGAGAATACTCCCGAGGTACGGTTTCTTAACCCGTCTTCTTCTAATAATATTATAGATGAGTATGTTGGCTATAAATTACCTTTCGGACGGAATCGAGGCAAGCCACCGATTCGATATTCATCGGATCATGAAGAAAGGAAGTCTAAATATCCAATTGCTAACCATGTGTGCACTCAAAGATTGTCACCACCCCTCAAAGCATTTGTGCACGGAATATCCACCGAGCATATTCCAAGCACGATACATGAGGCACTTAACAACCCTAAATGGACCCAAGCTATAACCGAAGAAATGACGACCTTGCGGAAGAATGATACATGGAAACTTATGACCTTGCTCGAAGGGAAAAAAACCGTGGGATGTAAATGGGTGTTCTCTATCAAATACAATGCGGACGGTTCGGTAGAAAGATACAAGGCAAAACTTGTAGCAAAGGGATACACCCGGACATATGGCATAGATTATAAGGAGACTTTTTCACCGATAGCAAAGTTAAAAACCGTCCGAGTGTTATTGTCTCTTGCTGCAAATTTAGATTGGCCACTACATCAATTTGATGTGAAAAATGCATTTCTTCATGGGAATCTTAACGAAGAAGTGTACATGGATGTTCCTCCGGGCTTTACTTCCTCATCGCAAACCGGGGTCGTATGTAAGCTCGCAAAAGTCGTTGTATGGACTAAAACAATCACCGAGAGCATGGTTTGGACGATTTAGTTTGGCTATGGGGAAGCATGGTTTTAAACAGAGTAATTCGGACCATACTTTATTTCCGAAACATCGACAACGGAAGGTGACGACATTGATTATTTATGTTGACGATATGATAATTACCGGGAATGACAAGGAGGAAATTTCTAGTTTACGAAACATTTGGAAGCTCGAGTTTGAAATGAAGGACCTTGGGGGTTTAAAATATTTTCTAGGCATCGAGGTATCTAGATCAAGTCAAGGCATCTTTTTATCACAAAGAAAATATGTGCTTGACTTGCTTGCTGAAACAGGAATGCTAGAATGTAAACCAGCCGATACACCAGTAGTTCGGAACCACGGATTGGGAGAATACTCAAACCAAATCCAAACAAATAAAGAAAGGTACCAACGACTAGTGGGAAAGCCGATTTATTTGTCTCATACCCGACCGGATATTGCGTATGCTCGTGAGTTTGGTGAGTCAATTCATGCATAATCCTAGTGAAGATCATATGAATGTTGTTTTCGGAATCTTACGATACTTGAAGTCATCTCCAGGAAAAGGGATCATGTTCGGAAAATATAATCATTTGAATATTAGTGGTTATACGTACGCCGATTGGGCTGGAAGCATTATTGACGGAAAATCTACATCCGGATATTTTACCTTTGTGGGCGGAAACCTAGTCACGTGGAGAAGTAAGAAACAAAAGGTGGTCGCATTATCTAGTGCGAGAGGCCGAGTTTAGAGGCATGGTTAAAGGTCTTTGTGAGCTTCTTTGGTTAAAGGAGTTACTAAGAGAAATTGGCTACTTATCGGAGTCCGCGATGAATCCGTTCCGTGATAATAAGTCTCGCTATAGAAATTGCACAAAATCCAGTTCAACATGATCGAACTAAACATGTTGAGGTAGACCGACATTTTATCAAAGAGAAACTTGAAGCAAAAATAATACGGTTTCCATTTGTGAAGTCCGAAGATCAATTGGCGGATGTTCTTACAAAAGCGAGTCTCAAGCGTAGTCTTTTATAACTCACTTAACAAGTTGGGCATTGGCGATATCTATGCACCAACTTGAGAGGGAGTGTTAGCGTGAGCTGTTATTCCCTAATAAATAGGGAGATTTTCTAGAGTTTTATTTGCAGTACATGTCAAATCCCATGTATATCTTTTACTTTCTAGAATAGGACTCTATACTCGCCTATATAAGCATGGCTTCTCTCCGTACGTAACATGGAAAAAAATAAAATTGAAAGACATGAGTTCTCGACGGATTCTTCTTCTCTTCCTCTCTTTGTCGCTGCTCGCTTCTCTTCTTCTTTTTGCTGCTGCCACCGCTAACGATTCTGATCCTTTTCTTTTTCCAGTCATGATTTATTTTTTAACTCTTCTGTAATGAGTTTGGTTTTCTTCTTTTGCTCTACTATATGTATATAACTTTCTTAATCTCCTCAAACCACTGGTGTCGTTCAAGGACAAGGATTCTTAAATATCCGAATTGGAAGCGGTTTCTACGCACCCTGAGGCTTCGGAAATTAAAGTATCTACCGACTATCAATTTCTACCGACACCGATAGACAAAGATGAATGCTGGCCAAATTCATTCCCTTATTCTCTCGGATGCATTAATCATGCAACCTGCAGGGTAAGTCCTTCTGGGAAAATTGATCTTACACAATTTTATGTTGAGATATAATTTTTTAATTCTTTTTAGTTTAAGCTAATCCACTCACAGGTAGCTTTCATGTACCGAGACGACTAAGTACTTTAACAATCAGATATCATATGGATTATTCAAAGCTGGATTTGTAGGTTAGTGAGAAATTTCTATCACACAATCTCCTTCTGTTTGATTTGAACGAGAGATGATAATATGGATAAACTCACTTGTTAAACAGGGACCATAGGAATGTTAACTTAAGTATAAGCAGGTATCTATCCATCTGGCCTAATTCATGTATGTAAAGTATATTTAATAGGTAGGGGTTTTAGGTATCACTATGCACTCCATACTCTCCCCACTGGAGAGTCTAAAAACCCTGATACCTCTGAAGCTGATCGTAGTACCAAAAAAGTCAAATTAAGAGATAAGGAAATGGACCCTGAACCCTACATTGATTCACCTCTGCCTGATAATGGATTGAACTACAAGAAAGTGGTAATTAATGGGAAAGAGACAGGAATATCACCGGTCTTTGAATGACAACCTCTTGAAGATATTGAAGTTGAAGAGAGAGATAATACTGTTATGGAGAAGACCAGGGAAACATTTTCAAATTGATCGATGGTGATGATGTTGCTTGCTCCTTATCTCATTGAAAAACAAAACACAACACAACACAACAGAATTGAAGATTAGGGATTTTTTTTTTTTTTGGAAGAAATGAAGAAGGAGGGTATAGCTCCTGCCTGTACAACTTTTAATATTTTGGTTGCAGGGCTTTGTAGATATGGGAGAGAGGAAGATGATGACTGATTGCCGAGGGATTTGTCGTTATCAGGCTTGCTCCCAGCTAGTTCACGACACAATATTTATGTTTCAGGCTTGTGTTGGGCTGGTTGGTTGGATGAGACCATGGAATTTTTAGAAGATATGATTGAGAAAGGGATACCACCAAGTGTAGTTGCTTTTAATTCAATAACAACGGCTTGTAGCAGGGCTGGCTTAGAAGATGAAGCCTATAAAGTATACAAAATGATGGGTAAAATTGGTTTATTTCCTTTATCTTTGATATGCAGCTCACTGCTGATGGGTTTATCCAAGTTGAGGAGGCTGCAAGAAGCGAGGGAACTTTTGTACAAGATGATAGAAAAAGGCTCACTCCTCGTGGCTCCCCTTTTATTGTGCTTTACGAAATAGCAGCAGAGGTGGAGAATGTATCTGCTTCTTTGCCTAATACTTCCTGACCCAGGCCCGCTTAGCCCAGCTAAACTGTTAGAAGTAATTTTGAATTTTGAGGTTCACCATCTACCCCGCATAAAATCTGACCACAAGCGTATTCTTTTATAGCTTGATACTTGTCGTAACGGAAGCTCACAAGAAAAAAATAAAAAAAAGATAAATATCGTTGATCCGAAATATAGATGTCTATCTATTATAACCCGTTGATTTGTGCACAAATACCAAGAAATAGGCTTCAACTCGTTAATTCAAAAAATATTGAAAATTAGGATAAACTTGAGATACTATTTCATAAACTTTTATTAATAAAAAAAAACTCTATTTTTTAGCCTCCAAGTCATACATAAATAGGAAAATTAGGCTAAAACGCTAAAACAATTCAAAAGGAAACAAATATAAAAAAATCCGAAAATAACAAAAAAAATCCTGAAAAATAGTAAATTTGTAATTTTGAGGGTCTAAATGATATTTTTTTTGGCTAAAATCACCCCTACTTCATGGGCATAGCCCATGAGTTTTGTTCGTTGGCCCATTTGGCATCGAATTAGGCTCAAACAACTTCAAAATTCGACCAACGGTGTTTTTTTCTAGCTTCTACCTCGCTCATACTCGTTTCATGAATTCTTAAGCCTATTGGTTCACATCATTTCCCTCAAGAAAGAGAAAATTTGCCCTCGAATTGTCGGTATGACCATCATCCTCCTCATCAAGGTAAGCCTCTTACGCCTCCCAATGATGATTTTGGTTATGGTTTCTATGGCCTTTGCCCATGCTCATCGTCAACGCACCCATCCGTTATGCCAACGCCCCCATCCGCTATGTCACCCACTAAAGGGATTGCTCCATCGTATCATTCATCTACTCAACTCGTTGTTCTAAATGCACCACATCGGTGCGCTCATAGATCTCATTCATATCGCTCTCGCTATTGCTGTCTCCTTAGCGGCACAATCGGAAAGCGATAACTAGGCTCTAATACCAACCGACGTAGCAGAAGCTCATAAGAAAATGATAAAAAAGGATAAATACGGTTGATCCGAAATTCGGATGTCGATCTACTATAGCCTATTGATTTGCGCACAATTAACGGAAAATAGGCTTCAACTCCATTGATTCAAAGAATACCAAAAATTGAAATAAACTTGAAATATTCTCTCATAAACTTTTATTGATTAAAGAAAACTTCGTTTTTCAGCCTCCAAATTATACATAAATAGAAAAATTAGGCTAAAACCCTAAAACAATTCAAAAAAGAAACAAATACTAAAAAAAATATCACAAAAAATAGTAAATTCCTTCAATATTATTCTTGCTTTTCCCATGATTTTGGGTAGTTTAGTTTCGAAGTAATTTCTTGTTTAAATGATAATTTTTGTTCCACCAATTAGATATTATGATATTTAAGTCAGGTTATAATTAAAGGTTTCTGTATTATGCTGAGCATGAAATTGTTGTGTAATAATTTTTATTGGGCCAATTAGATATTATGATAGCTCTAAAGTTTGATATTGAACTGAAGCAATCAAGATAATGAAACAAGTCAAGGCTCTGTGGGCTGCGTAATTACCAAATCCAAGGCATGAATTAAGAAGGCAGATATGAAGGATGGAGGGGACAGGTGCACTACTTTTGCTCTTTGCTTATGCATTGTTAGTTGAATTTTTCATCCCAGACAAAAACAAGCATAATCTAACAAGCATAATCTAACAGTTATGTATCTCGATAATCTTTTTTAGTGCTATAAGGTTTGAATTTTTGTGACCCTAATGAAATTTCTTTGGAGATTATATAATGGAGGATGCTACTACCATTATGTAGTCCAAAACCCGTGAACCTTCCGATGAACCAAAAAAAAAACAAAGAAAAATAAATAAAATAAAAAACCAACACCATCTAGTAAGAATTTTTCAACTTTTTCTACTACCCAGACTTTAAGGGTATGCAACCTATGGCTTATGTGGTTAGACTTTCTTAATGTATATCACTATTTGACGTCGGACAAGACTCTCAAAATTTTTTATTGGATTAGCATCGCATTTATGATTTATTTTGGAGATGCAAGTTATTGCTGCGTTTAAAGTCACTACTTAATATTGAATGAACTAAAAACCTAAAATGGGCATTGGTTCAAAAATTATAAGGTAAAGAGTTGGTTACGTTTTGAAAAGATATCGATTACCCAAAGATGTCGGCTTTTAAAAAAGGTACCACGTCTAATTTAATCCTAAATTTATCCCTCAAAGTATTTTATTTGTGCCAAGTCATTTATGATTTAAACTCCAACTTGTCAAGCCAAATTAAGTTTTTTTATTTTTTAAAGTCATATTGTATTAAAACGATCATCGGACCCTTTTGTTGGAAGAACGTCGGTTCAAATGCCGAATCCACTTTAAATCTCGACACAATTGATATGTCGGAGAATATTTTAATTATTAAATGATGATTTTTTTTTTAAAAAAAAACTCTATCAAATATGAGACTTGGTAAGAATTTTGATTATTTTTTGTTTAGTTTTGGATAACATAAATCTCTATCATATATAAGAATTTGTTGAGAATTTTATTATTTATTTTTTATTTTCTCATTTTTTGTTAACGACGAGTCTCTATCATATAGAATACTTCTTTAGAAATTTTAATTAATTTTTGTCAATAACAGTCTCTATCAAATAGAAGACTTCGTTAATAATTTTAATTAATTCTTGTTAATTTTTCTTTTTTCTTCTCTCATTTTCTCTTCTCTTTTTTTTTTCCTACCATTTCTTTTTATTTTCCTAAAGTTTTTTTTTGGTTCATTTTTATTATCTTTTTTGGTGGAGAATTGTCATCGGTCCTTAAAAATAAACATATATAAATAAACATTCAAGATAAATTTATCTAAATAAATTGAAATTAAAACATTTTTTTCTCACTCAGGACTGGGCTAGGGGCCTCGCCCAGTCTTGTTGAACATGGGTTGAGCCAAAGCCCAACATGGCGAGGTGGGGTGGCTTAGAGGAATTGAGAAGCTGACATGTTTTACTAGATAATTGAAGAAGGCAACAAGAGATCAGAAGACTAGACACATAAAAAGTAGTTTATGTACTACCACAACATAGGAATTCCTGAAACTTTATTTGATAATACACAAAGTAAAGAACAAAAATTACTCAAACATTTAAGCATAAGCCAAAGCAACAAGAGTCACTCCATTCCTAGTGATTCAGAAAACCTTACCTGAACCTTCTCCCATGCTTTCTTGCTCGCCTTTCCAGATCACTGAACCATTTGATTCTCATCTGACTGAATATTGTGTATCCAATAGAAAAACCAATTATTAGTCCACTTGCATATCCCATCCCCACAATTTTCCAATCAAGTATGTACTTTGTCCATGAATCCTCATCGTTGACGAGTACTGGTGGAGGCATCGGTACTGCACCAACACCGCATTTCCTTGTCAAAGGTGGCCCACATAATCTTGGGTTCCCTTCATAGGAAGTGTTTGAAAATGTATCGAACTGGTTGCCTTGTGGAATGTTTCCCTCCAGTTGGTTATATGAGAGATTCATTACTGCGAGGAATGTCAGGCCTGTAAGCTGCGGAGGAATCTCCCCTGAGAGTCTGTTGTTTGACAGGTCTAATGACTCCAGCTCCGTTAGGTTCCGCATCAGTGACGGGATTGTGCTGATAAAGCAATTTTGAGACAAGTTTAGAACTTTGAGTGATTTGAGGTACCCTATCTCTTCAGGAATTTCTCTATGGAATTTGTTTTGAGACAGATCAAGACAAGTGAAGATGGTCAGTATTCTCTCCATATGCATTTCCAATCCCTTGTTCATAATAGTCACCGACTCCTTGTAGTAGTAGCTATGTTCGTAGTTATCTCCGACATACGTTGGCTTTGATTCATTGTTGCTAGCCACTTGCATTGCTGCTAGGCTTTGAACAAATTCTTTCGAAAGATGACCAGTAAATTCATTGGAAGATAGGTCCAGAACATGCAGCATTGGCATAATGTTCACAAGACCAAGATTCCAAATTTGACCATGAAATTTATTTGCTCGCAGTACAAGAATCTTCAATGCAGGCAGCTTTTCCAACCACAGTGGGAATGCATCACGTATCATGTTGTCTCCCAGGTCCAAAACCTCTAGCTTCGAACAATTGGCCAAGGATCTTGGCAACTTTCCTTCGATTTTATTGCCATTCATTTTCAATGACTGCAAATTGCCTAATTGTGAAAAACCTGGCATGGTAGTGAAGTTATTTCTCTGAAGGTTCAGCACGTTGAGATTTTGCATAGCTCCCAAACACTCTGGGATTTGACTACTTAGGAGGTTATAGGACATGTCGAGCAAAGAGAGTTGACTGATATTGCATATAGCTTTAGGGAATGAACCATGCAATAGATTGTCATGAAGATCAAGAATTTGTAAGGATTCGACCTGGATGGCTGCAGGTGAAATTTGGTCAAAAGAATGAAGGGAGTTCTCAGAAAGGTTTAGATGCCATAGTCTTGTAAAATTCCATATCCAGTTGGGTATTTGACCACTGAGTTTGTTGTCGGAAAGATCCAGTTCTCCTAAGTTGCTCTGGTTCTTTAGAAACTCTGGAAAGCTACTTAAGTCACATGAACGCATTCTAAAATTAATTAACTGCGAAAAGGAAGAAGTTGCATCGCTATTGTTTAGTATGCCAAAAGGAGGATATTTGGGAAAATCAATAGGATTGTGGGAAAGGTCTAATTCAATGAGATTTCTTTTCCATATCCAACTGGGCACATAACCTTTAATTCGGTTGTTGGAAAGATCTAGATAACTCAAACTGTTTTGTGCTTTGAGGAAATTTGGAAATTCAGTGAAATTGCAGGATGTCAATGTCAAAACTTCAAGTTGGACTGAGGCAAGACTTGTGTCGTCACTTTCGATTGATACTCCAGAAAGGCTGAGATCTGTTAAATTCCTTTGATTCTGGAAATTGCCTAGCTTCAAGGAGCCGTAGAAGTTGTTACTACTGAGATCAACCTTTACAAGCCTTGGGAGTTCAAAGACTGACCTTGGTATTGGTCCTTCAAAACTATTTTGACGCAAGTCTAAGACTTCCAACAAGGAAGAAGATGCATTTGGGAACTCATGTAGCTCTCTGCTGAATTTGTTGGATGCGAGATGTAATTCCTTTAAGGAAGGAAGAGTGAATAGTGAAGAACAAATAGGACCAGAAAGAGCACAATCATACAGTCTCAGGACTCTAAGGTTGGGAAGTAAAAGAGAGATGGCTTCACACCAGCTGCTACTTTGTGCTGAGAGGTCTACAAAATCTAGACTGACTCTGACTAAAAAACTCAAATTCTGGAAAACCATTTCAAGGATTGGGTTTTCAAGTTTGAGTGTTGCAGAAATAGGCGGACTCAAGTCAAGTACAGTCACAAGACCATCACCATTACATGCAACCCCGTGCCAAGAGCAACAATCTGTTTTCAGGTCCCACAACTCAGCTTTTGAATAAGAATCTGTAGTAAAGGAGTAGTTAAGAAGGTTTTCTTGCAGTTGTACCAAGGAAGATCTCTGATGATAAAGGCAATGGTGGTGAGTAGCTTTGGGAGTTGTAGATAAAGATGAGGCAAAACTACTTGGCTGGAGTAACAAGAAAAGGAGCAAGAGTAAATGATTAACATCTCCCATCTTCGTTTTCCTCCACAGAAAAACTGCTATTAGCAGGAGTTAATGATACTTAATGGTTTAGATCGATGACTGAAAATATATAGCAGAGGAGATAGAAATCACGATCCTTTAAGTTTCCCACGTTCCCACTATCTTTAACGAAAACCAAATGCATATCACATCACCATCCCTATCTCCAAATTTGTCTTGATCTTTTGACTCTCCTCTCTCCATTACGGCATCCAATCTATATATGTATATATTTCTCCGCCAAAGATGTCGATGGCTTCAACATCTCTATCTCCAAATTTGTCTTGATCTTTTGACTCTCCTCTCTCCAAAAAAATTTCTAAGCTTCTATTATTTCTGATCTATGAATAGGACAAAAAATAAACCATTAAAAAAACTAGCAATCGGACCACAGTTCCAAAATTTGAGAAATGAATAATTAGTAGTATTTATTTTAAAAATTAATTATTTAGTCTTTTAATTAATTTTGTTCACGTTAAATTTAATATTAATTTAGTTAAAAAAAATATCATTTTTTTTCACGTCAATCCTTCAGTATTTTTTATAGCAGCCACAACCACTATAGTCAGTAAATATCATTTAAGATGAATGGCAATCTGCAAATTACATAAATCCATAAATAAAAGATATCAAATAATAAACACATCAAAAAACACAAGAAAATACGGCAAACCAGAATTTGAAAACCAGCAAAGGCAACAAATGGACCATAGTCAGTAAAGGTTTCACGTTATTACTCTGCAAATTCCCAATGAAGCAAAAAAAATGAAAAATAAACAAAATAAAAAGCCAACACCATCAAACTTTTTTTGCTATCCAAACTTTTTAAGGATATTTCGGTTAAAGAAGAACGGTTTTACATTGACTTTAAGAATCTCCATTAAATTTCTTGTGCTTATGGTCTCTTAGTGGAAGGCCTCCTAATTGATTGTTTGATGGAAAATTAGTTGTTTCTCCTTGAATAAATTACAAATTAATTCCTTTAATTTTGGAAAACGAATTAATTAGTTGTTTCTATTTTAAAAATTATTTATTTATTCTTTTTTATATGTTTATATATTATTTTTCTATTTATTTTTATTTTTCTTTTGTTAAAAGTTACAAGATAAAATAATTTAAACTTTTTCATCTTCTGTAATGTTTTTAATTGTATCTATTATATGTATTTAGTTGATAACGTGATAATAGCAAAGAGATACTTCTGCATTCATGAATGTGACACATCTATTCAACGAAACACAACTTTGGGCTAGTTCCACATGGTTTCTGGCATTTGAAGATCATCAGCTAGAGAATATCTTTAGCAATGATGCTACTGAGTTCTAAAATTCGTTTGGGAATCCAAACAAAATGCATGTAAAGGATCAACCACCTGCTAATGGCAACCAATTATGGCAGTAAAATGAAAAGTTAGTCCAGGAACCACAGTGGAACTTTGTAAGTATCATTTTTATATAGCCATTTGGCGAGTAAGTTGATGAACATACTGAACAAGCAACCGATGAGTGTCATTCAGCTGTTCAATCTACATATAGCAGTGTGATTCACACTTATTGGCCATTAAATAGAATAGATTTGACTAAGCTTTCTTTTAATCAATCCATCAAAGGTTAATGACACGAGCTGTTAATTTGCCATGCAAATATGGTAGAACAAACAAGGAATCAAATGGCACCCTGTGTTCATTTCTTTTTCGGATACTCCCTAGGACCAAATATGGTAGAACCAATTCTCACATTTGTACTCCCCATTTCAATCTGCAAAACAGGTTTAGCTATTAGTTGGATTATCTTCAGACAGGATGTGTCATGATGGATCGAGGGGTGCAATTTCCACCTCATTGATGACAAAAATAAAAATTCAACCTATCAGCACAGTAGTGCTTCAAGCCAGCAGCATTACTTACAGCTTGCTCAAAGTCATTAGACATTCCCATTGAGGGCTCGCACTGCTCTTCTGGTATACCAACTACCAAGGGCCTTGCAAACCTTACTTCTGCAGTTTGCCAATGTCTGACAATATAACCAAGTTTGAGATCAAAAAATCTCAGGCACAAACAATGCTATGAAAAAGGAGAAGGAATGAAAGATTGGAACCTAAAAGTGAACAAAATATGCAGCCACCACCTTGAAGTTTTCTGGGGTTGATGTATAGTCAAGCATCCCTATCGTCATTAGGCCACAAAACTGAAGGTTCGTGCAACTCTGACTAACAAATTGGCTCTCAAATTCTTCTCAACCATGACTGAACAATAATGACAAGACTATTAAGCTGGTATCAGTTGATAAACAGAACTAGATCCCAGAGGGGTAACAAGCTGCATGGTACAAAAGCCACAGAAGATATTAATGGTGGCAAAAATTTTCATGTACTTGCTTTATGGAGGAAAAGGCACTCCTAAATAATAATAGATTTATGACTTAGTGGTGGTAGCATGAGGAGCAGCATCAGAACCTACTGAGCCACTAAATAGTAGGATAGAGATCCGTATAAATACAATCAACGAAGTTAAGGCATCACAACAGATTAAAATCGAACTCCAATGCATGTAACTCATGTCTACTTGCTCCACATTGGAACAATTGTACGAGCTTTTCCTTCAAGTGCCAACTAATAACCTTGAATAGTTAGAAAGGTCCTCAAGCAGAGCTTCGTAAATCCATAAAATGCAAGGGTTCACAAGAAAGGCAATACCTTTTCATCATCCACACTCTCTACCATATCAAGGTTTGGCACACTAGCTGCGCAACACACACTAAACCATCAAAAAACACAAGAAAACACCACAACCCAGAATTTGAAAAACAACAAAGACAACAAATGAACCATACCCAGTAAAGGTTTCACTTTATTGCTCTGCAAATTCCCAATGAAATGCCACTCTATATCCTCTGGCAACTGCATTATTCAATTACCAAATTCAACCAAAACAGTTCACATCTTTAATCAGTCGCCACTACCATGATTATTTAACACAAATTAACAAAAAAAAGATCGAAAATTTCAGAACCTGGGGTGCTTTTTCTATGAATTCTTGAACGAAGTTTTCACCAAAACAACGGTGACCCACATCGTAGACTTGTTTGCTTAGAGAGACTGGTTTGTTCTTGCTGACAGCCACCACTCTGATCTGCTAGGACCACGACCTGCCTTCTCTGCTGCTTGAGTCACATGCTGAAGCACAGATCGGAGCGCCGCCGCTGCCACTTTGTCCATAGCTGCAGATTTTGCTGACATGTCAGAAACAGAAACTTGTCCTTCTTCTTGTTTTGTGTTATCGTTATTATCTGTGGTGCTGGGATCTTCTTCTTCTTGTCTTCTCATTTTTTTTTGTGGTCTCTCTGGTCCTTTGGTTTCTGGTTGGTAAAAGTGCTAGCTAGATTATTGGTATGAAAATTTTGCGTTTTAGAGTATTTCTTTACAATTATTTTATTCATTTTTATCAATTCTTTTTTTCTGGTAAATAAGCAAAGAAAAGTAGCAAACAGTTAGAAATTTTCATTTTGCCCAATAAAAAAACTTCAATTTATTTGAAGACAATTTTTCATTTTATCCCATTAATGTCAAGGTTTAGTAGTATTCTCCCTTTCCAAACTTCAAGACTAATTTCTCTTTAAGCATGATAACATCTTGGACGTTTAAGAACAAATTCTCAAAAATACTAATTAAAATAATCAAATTTGAAACTTAAGTAATAAATTAACATTTGCTTACTAATAGACTATCATCTTATGATTGCAACATAAACTTTAAAAAACTATTTAGAGTATATAAATAAGAAAAGATAATTACATTATAAATATGCTATTTTTAAAAGTTTTACCTATCAAATATATAATTTTTTTTTTTTTTTGTAAGCATATTGATTTTTCAAAAATCAATTAGTTTCTGTCCAATTTATATAAATTACCCAGTTATGTAATAACTTGACCTTTGTTCTAGACTATTAAATTATATTTTTGAAATTTCGTTGGTAGAGGAAACTTTTTCTGCCATATTATCTTGTATTTTATTGTTTTAACATCTTCAGTCCTAACCTCTATATTTATAACTTAATCAAAGGCTTATTGGAAATTAGGAAAGTGATTGTAACTAAGGCCTAGTGATTGAAACAGATTATTTGGAGTAAATGAGTAATATTAAAGCTTTATTTGACAATACAAAGAACAGAACAAAAATTACTACAGACCAAATGTATCTCTCGTACATTAAATTAGATTTTTACATTATTTAATAGATTTCCTGGTGATTCAGAAAACCTTACAAGTACGATTTACATGGTGATTATAAATACTACATTCATCAGCATCAACTTCAACTTCCACTTCGAAGCCTCCTCTGACCTTGCCTGAACCTTCTCCCATGCTTTCTTGCTCGCCTTTCCAGATCACTGAACCATTTGATTCTCATCTGACTGAATATTGTATATCCAGTAGAAAAACCAATTACTACTGCACTTGCATATCCCATCCCCACAATTTTCCAATCAAGTATGTACTTTGTCCATGAATCCTCATCATTGGCAACTACTGGTGGAGGCATCGGTACTGCACCAACACCACATTTCCTTGTCAGTGGAGGCCCACATAATCTTGGGTTCCCTTCATAGGAAGTGTTTGGAAATGTACCGAACTGGTTGCCTTGTGGAATGCTTCCCTCCAGTTGGTTGTGTGAGAGGTTCATTACTGCAAGGAAGGTTAGGCCTATAAGTTGCAGAGGAATCTCCCCTGAGAGTTTGTTGTTTGACAGGTCTAATGACTCCAACTCTGTTAGGTTCCTCATTAGTGATGGGATTTTGCTGATGAAGCTATTGTGAGACAAGTTTAGAACTTTGAGTGATTTGAGGTAGCTTATCTCTTCAGGAATTTCTCCATAGAATCTGTTTTGAGACAGATCAAGACAAGTGAACACGGTCGGTATTCTCTCCATTGGCATTTCCAATCCCTTGTCCATAATAGTCACGGACTCCTCATAGTTGTAGTTGTAGGGATTATCTCCGACATACGTTGGTACTGATTCATTGTTTCTAGTCACTTGCATGGCTGCTAGGCTTTGAACAAATTCTTTTGAAAGATGACCAGTAAATTCATTGGAAGATAGGTCCAGAACAAGCAGCATTGGCATAATGTTCACAGGACCAAGATTCCCAATTTGACCATAAAATTTATTTGCTCGCTGTACAAGAATCTTCAATGCAGGCAGCTTTTCCAACCAAAACGGGAATGCATCACGTATCATGTTGTCTCCTAGGTCCAAAACCTCTAGCTTTGAACAATTGGCCAAGGATCTTGGCAACTTCCCTTCGATTTTATTGTCATTGATTTTCAATGACTGCAAATAGCCTGCTTGTGAAAAACCTGGCATGCTAGTGAAGTTATTTCTCTGAAGGTGCAGCACGTTGAGGTGTTGAATATCTTCCAAACAATCTGGGATATGACTCCTTAGTTGGTTATAGGACATGTCGAGCAAACGGAGTGCACTGAAATTGCATATAGCTTTAGGGAATGAACCATGCAATAGATTGTCACGAAGATCAAGAATTTGTAAGGATACGGCCGGGATGGCTGCTGGTGAAATTTGATCAAAAGAATGAAGGGAGTTCTCAGAAAGGTTTAGACGCCATAGACTTGTAATATTCCATATCCAGTTGGGTATTTGACCACTGAGTTTGTTGTCGGAAAGATCCAGTCTTTCTATGTTGCTCTGGTTCTTTAGAAACTCTGGAAAGCTACTTAAGCCACATGAACGCATCCTCAAAACAAGTAACTGGGGAAAGGAAGAAGTTGCATCACAATTGAAGATTGACCTGCTATTGTTTAGCGTGCAAAAAGGAGGATATTTGGGAAAATCAATAGGATTGCCGGAAAGGTCTAACGTATTGAGATTTCTTTTCCATATCCAACTGGGCACAGAACCTTTAATTCGGTTGTTGGAAAGATCTAGAAGTAGCAAACTGTTTTGTGCTTTGAGGAAATTTGGAAATTCAGTGAGGTTGCAAGATGTCAACGTCAAAGCTTCAAGTTGGACAGAGGCAAGACTTGTATTATCAGTTTCAATTGATACGCCAGAAAGGCCAAGTGTTGTTAAATTCCTTTGATTCTGGAACTTGCCTAGCTTCAAAGAGCCGTAGAACTTGTTGCTACTGAGATCAACCGCTACAAGGCTTGGGAGTTCAAAGATTGACCTTGGTATTGGTCCTTCAAAACGATTGTGACTCAAGTCTAAGACTTCCAACAAGGAAGAAGATGCATTTGGGAACTCCCTTAGCTCTCTGCTGAATCGGTTACTGCTGAGATAAACCTCTACAAGCTTTGAGAGTTCAAAGATTATTGACCTTGGTATTGGTCCTTCAAGACGATTGTAACTCAAGTCTAGGATCTCCAACAAGGAAGAAGATGCATTTGGGAACTCATTTAGCTCTCCGCTGAATTTGTTGGATACGAGATATAATTCCTTTAAGGAAGGGAGAGTGAATAGTGAGGAACAAATAGGACCAGAAAGAGCACAATCAGACAGACTCAAGACTCTAAGGTTGGGAAGTAAATGAGAGATGGCTTCACACCAGCTGCTACTTTGTGCTGAGAGGTCTACATAATCTAGATTGACCTTGACTAAAAAACTCAAATTCTGGAAAACCATTTCAAGGACTGGGTTTTCAAGTTTAAGCGTTGCTGAAACAGGCGGACTCAAATCAAGTTCAGTCACAAGACCATCACCATTACATGCAACCCCATCCCAAGAGCAACAATCTGTTTTCAGGTCCCAGTCCTGCAACTCATCGTCTGGAGAATAATCGCCCATAATCATAAGGTTATGGTGCAGTAGAGACAAAGCAGATCTCTGGTGATCAAGGCATTGGGGGTGGGTATCAGCTTGTGGTGGCGGTGTTGATGATGAAGCAAGAACTATCATTTGGTACAAAGTGAGTGACAAGAAAATGATGAAAATCAGTAAAAATTGACTAGGGTCTCTCATTTTTCCACCAGATAAAAAATGGCTCTGGCTTATAAAGATTAGAAAGAAATGTTGGATGAGTTATGTAGGGACCAAGAGCTGATGAATTTATAGGAAAGCAAACGCAGATCACATCAATATGACTTAAAGTGTTGGATAAAAACATCAATTACAGTTTTTAAGATACTTTTTGTTTGCTTTTTTGGCTGTGTACGTAGGACATATGATGTTGTCGTGTAACGATGAAATCTTTTTCTCTCAAAAAGAAAAAATGGCACTAGCTAGGTAAAGATTAGAAGGAAACGTTGTATGATTAGTTATGCAGAGACAAAGACTTGTTATACCGCGTTTGGCATAGTGTTTTCCCTATGATTTTCCATGTTCCCACTATCGATCTTTGACAAAAAGAAAAAGCAAATCACATCACGATCCTTGAATTCTTAGCAAACGAAAGGGCAAAAGTCAACCTTGGTGCAGCTGGTGTCCATATGCAGGAAATAAAAAGGAAATGTTGCATGATGTAAAATGTTGATGAGTACTTATTTATGGAGATATAGTAATTCATCAAATTAATGGATGCTTGACCCTAACATGACTCGGGTGGATTCGGATTAACTCAAAGATTTGACTAATTATTTGCTAATTAAGAAAATTTTAATAATAATTATTATGTAATTAATATATATATATTTGAGCTAATTTTATTTTAAAATTATGAATATCTAAACGTATATGTGTATAAATATATGATGTAAAATAAGTTAATGGCTTTGTTCATAAAATATATATTAACATAATTAAGCAAACATTCATTATTTAGTAGTGAAATTCATGGAAAGTACTTTTGAATGTAAATAGTAAGGAAATTTCCTATCTCATGACTTTTGGATCTGTATTGGAGAGAGCAGAGTCAAAAGATCAAGACAAATTTGAAGATAGAGATGTTGACGGCGTCCCCATCTTTGACGGAGAAACGATTACGTATACTTAACTGTCACATTAATTATTCGTAGACTTGATTCAAAAAAAAAAAAAAAACAAGATACATGGATAAATCATATGGAACGCATGCATCATTAGTTTTTATTATTATTATTATTATTGATTGTTTATATGTCTTGTTTTTATTGGTCTTATATATATATATATATATTAGTGAGTTAATTATAAATTAGTCCTGCTCGTTTTGAAAAACTAATTAATTGATTTGTAAAATAGGTCTCGGTGAATATTGATAAAAAAATTAAATTAATCATAATCAATATTGATAAAAAATATAAATAATTAATTTTTGAAACCAGAATATTAATTAATTTATTTATTTTTCAAAGCAAGAGGAACAAATTTATAATTTACTCAACATATATATAGTAGACTAATTAATGTATGAAAGATTTAGTGAGCAAATTATAAATTAGTTCCTCTTGCTTCAAAAAAAATAATTAATTAGTCTTTTTAGTTTTAACTACTAAAGACTTAGTCTTTTTTGTTATTTTTAATTTATTTTGATATTTTGTTTTAAGAAATAAAAAATAAAACATATCGAATACCGATGAGAAAAAAAATAAAAAAATAAAAAAATATTAAATTAGTCGTAATCAACACCGATTAAATAAACTAAATAATTAGTTTTTGCGATCAAAGTGATTAATTTAAAAACAAAATTTGAAGAGGCAGAGTTAATAATTTACTTGGATAGTTAAAGATAAAAAGTAGTTTCGGTAGTATCATAACAGAGGAAACTCGAAACATTATTTGATAATACAAAGTAAAAAATAAAAATTACTACAGACCAACTACATCTCTAGTACATTTAAGCATAAGCCAAAACAACAAGAGGGAGACCAAGATAGAGGGAGAGAAGGGGGAGGGAGGGTTAAAGACAAAGTAAGAGGGAGGAAAGGAGAGATGGAGAGGGATAGGGAGAGGGGGAGGAGAGTGAGAGAGAGGGAGCAGAGAAAGAGGAGAGAGAGGGAGACAGAGAGATGGAGGGAGATTGGAAAAGAGGGGAAAAAGATAGAGAGAGGGAGAGGGAGAGAGAGCAAGGTAGAGATAGAGAGAGGGACAGATAAAGAGAGAGTGAGAGAGAGAGAGGAGAGAGTGAGATGAGAGGGAGAGGGAGAGAGCAAGGTAGAGATAGAGAGAGGGAGAGACAAAGAGGGAGTGAGAGGGGGAGAGAGAGAGAGAGAGGAAGGGAGGGTAAGCGCGGCGGACGAAGATTATGTATACTTAACTATCACATTAATTATTTGTAGACTTGATTAAAAAAAAAAAAAAAAAACAAGATACATAGATAAAATCATATGGAATGCATACATCATTAGTTTTCTTTTATCATTGTTTATATGTCTTGTTTTTATTGGTCTAATATATGAAATATATATAGTGAGTAAATTATAAATTAGTTCTCGCTCACTTCAAAAAACTAATTAATTAATTTGTAAAATAAGTCTCGATGACTATTGATAAAAGAAAATTAAATTAATCATCATCAATACCGATTAAAAATATAAATAATTAATTTTTGAAACCGAATATTAATTAATTAATTTGTTTTTCAAAGCAAGAGGAACAAATTTATAATTTACTCAAAATATATATAGTAGACTAATTAATGTATGAAAGATTTAGTGAGCAAATTATAAATTAGTCCCTCTTGCTTCGAAAAACAAACTAATTAGTCTTTTTAGTTTTAAATACTAAGTACTTAGTCTTTTTCTTTTCTTTTCTTTTCTTTTTCTTTTTTTTTTAATTTTGATCTTTTGTTTTAAGAAATAGAAAAAAAATAAAACATATCAAAATACTGATGAGAAAAAAAGAATTTTATAAAATAAAAAAATATTAAATTAGTTGTAATCAATATTGGTTAAATGAACTAAATAATTAGTTTTTGCAATCAAAGTGATTAATTAATTTGTTTTCCGAAACAAGAGGGATAAATTTATAATTTGCTAACGATATATATAGTAAACTAATTAAGTTTACATTACAATTTATCCCCTAAATAGGGTCATCAAGGGAAGAGTTAGTATAATAATATAATCGTACATAATGTTGAAGAAAATAAGTACTTTTGAAAAGCTCAATTAATTAAGTCAATTAAACCATAATTTTCTGATCAAATTGGCAATCGATCATGAAAATCTACAATGAGTAGCAATAATTCTTGCCTAACTAACTATTTATTTATAGTTTCCACAGTACTCCTATCGTAACTAAATATATATAGTTCAGGAAAATAAATCTGCAGGCATTCTAGTAGCATAGTGCTTGTTGAGAGAGATAGATTGAAAATTTAAGTTATTATATAAAGATAAATTTAGCTATTTATATATTGTGTTACATAAACATGGTAGTTTTATAAGCTGACAAGTATTACAAGCATTGATTTAAAAGCAAAATTTGAAGAGACAGAGTTAATAATTTACTAGATAGTTAAAGATAAAAAGTAGTTTCTGTACTACCACAACAGAGGAAACCATTAAACTTTATTTGATAATACAAAAGTAAAAAATAAAAATTACTACAGACCAAATACATCTCTAGTATATTTAAGCATAAGCCAAAACAACAAGAGCCACTCCATTCATGGTGATTCAAAAAACCTTACAAGTATGATTTCTCTGGTGATTACTAATACTACTTTCACCAGCATCAACTTCATCTTCCACTTCGAACCCTCCTTTGACCTTCCCTAAATTCTAAAATATTAATTCAATTAAAAAAAACCACTTTTTTGTAAATCTTCAAAGAAAAAAGAAAAAAACCAAACAATTGTGAGCATTAATTTTATCCATGTATTATCGTTGTAGATTCGAACTAAAAAGATTCATGAGATAACTTTTCGTGAAATTTTCGTAAAAATTAATGTGAGAATACTTATACAAATAATAAAAAGGAAGGGAAAAAAGAAAGGAAAAAGAACACCTGTGGTTTGGATGCATATGGCAACTCAATTGTGGGCCTTAGAAGGCCCAAGTAAGTATTATAACTGGATCCAGAAAAACAAAAGCAATTTTGGGCCTTAGAAAGCCCAATTAAATATTAAAACTGTATCCAGAAAAACAAAAGCGAGCTTGTTATCTCTCTCTCTCTCTCTCTAATACTTTCAGTTCCTCAAACAAAAGCGAGCAAAAAGAAAGTTGTGCTTATGGTCTCTTAGTGAACGGTTTTTATTTTTATATTTCTTAAAAAAGTTACGAGATAAAATAATTTAAACTTTTTCATCTTCTGTAACGTTTTTTTATTGTATCTATTATATTCATGAACGTGAGAAATAATTTGTAGGGTCAAAGAGACCAATTCTTTGGCCTTGGCTAGACCAATTTATTTGGTTACATGAGTTTGTTCTAGCTGAAATTTTCCAAATAATTAAGAAATTCGGTAAAATTCATGTGGAAATATTGGGATTGATGACAAATCTAAAAATTTCCAACACCGAAGCACTAAAAGCTAAAACCGAAAGTATTCCTACATAAGTCCATTTCCATTTTTCTGCAAGCCCTTTATGATGATCAATCCCTTGAAATATTTTGGCTATAATCATGCAAATCAACCCAAATCAATCCCTTGAAAGTATATCTTCCACCACCTGCTGCATTCATTTTCTCTCTTCGGTTGCAAGCAGAGAGCAAACATCTGCATTACATTGCGAAAGCAATAACATCAGAGATTAAGGTAGAAAATACTTAAAGAGGGTATTGCAAGTTTAGGCTTGACCTGTGCAGTTGCAAATGTGAAAATAATGATGCCAAGATTCCTATGTGTTCTTAAGCTGTTTTGTTTGAGGAATTCGTAAGCCACATCCCAATGCTCCATCCTACTGCACCAACAATATATCCCAACTTTTGACACATTTCAGGGGGAATTTTCTGAAGGATCTTGCAACAATTGCCCCGAGTCTTTTCATGTTCGTCGCATTAGCATAGCAAGAAAATTTCAATAAGAGAAAAATATAAAAAATAAAAGTTAAAACATATGAAACTTTCTTTGCAAATTCTGTAGATTTAACTGCTCTTACATCCCTACGATGGCGCCTGCGATGCAAAGCTAATTTTCAAACAGTGACACATCGATTCATTGGAACACAACTTTGTGCTAGTTTCACATGGTTTCTGGCATGTGAAGATCATCAGCTAGAGAATATCTTTAGCAATGATGATACTGAGTTCTAAAATTCGTTTGGGAATCCAAACAAAATGCATGTAAAGGATCAACCACCTGCTAATGGCAACCAATTATGGCAGTAAAATGAAAAGTTAGTCCAGGAACCACAGTGGAACTTTGTAAGTATCATTTGTATATAGAAATTTGGCAAGTAAGTTGATGAACATACTGAACAAGCAACCGATGAGTGTCATTCAGCTGTTCAATCTACATATAGCAGTGTGCTTCACACTTATTGGCCATTAAATAGAATAGATTTGACTAAGCTTTCTTTTAATCAATCCATCAAAGGTTAATGACACGAGCTGTTAATTTGCCGTGCAAATATGGTAGAACAAATGAGGAAGCAAATGGCACCCTCTGTTCATTTCTTTTTCGGATACTCCCTAGGCCCAAATATTGTAGAACCAATTCTCACATTTGTACTCCCCATTTCAATCTGCAAAACAGGTTTAACTATTAGTTGGATTATCTCCAGACAGGATGTGTCATGATGGATCAAGGGGTGCAATTTCCACCTCATCGATGATAAAAATAAAAATTCAACCTATCAGCACAGTATTGCTACAAGCCAGCAGCATTACTTACAGCTTGCTCAAAGTCATTAGACATTCCCATTGAGAGCTCGCACTGCTCTTCTGGTATACCAAGGGCCTTGCAAACCTCACTTCTGCAGTTTGCCAATGCCTGACAATATAACCAAGTTTGAGATAAAAAAATCTCAGGCACAAACAATGCTGTGAAAAAGGAGGAGCAATGAAAGATTGGAACCTAAAAGTGAACAAAATATGCAGCCACCACCTTGAAGTTTTCTGGGGTTGACGTATAGTCAAGCATCCCTATTGTCATTAGGCCACAAAACTGAAGGTTCATGCAACTCTGACTAACATGTTTTGCCAGTTCCACACAACCTGAGGGTTCAATACCAGATTTTGCTGCAATAATATGACAGAAATAAACAACAGAAAAAAATAGACTGCTCTTAAAAGAAACTTAAATTAGTGAAAAATTCTACAACTAATAGGAATGTGTTAGTTAAGAAATTCACGCAGAATGAGAGCAAATTGTTGAAAATTGAACTATCAAATGGCCTCGAGAACAAACTTGGCTCCGAACCATGACTAGAGCAATAACAACGAGAGCGTTCGGCAGGTATCAGCTGATAAACAGAACCAGATCTAAGAGGGGGTAAAACAAGCTGCATGATACAAAAACGACAAAGGATATATACAGCAACAAAAATTTTCATGTACTTGTTTTATGGGGAAAAAGGCACTCCTAAATAATAATAGATTTATGGCTCAGAGGTAGTGGCACGAGGAGCAGCATCAGAACAAACTGAGCCACTAAATAGCAGGACAGAGATCAGTATAAATACAACCAAAGAAGTTAAGGCATCACAACAGATTAAAATCAAACTCCAATGCAATTAACTCTTGACTACTTGCTCCACATTGAAGCAAAGGTAAGGGCTTTTCTTTCAAGAGCAAAAACCTTAGGGCATGTCATATATATATAAGCCATGCACTAAACAGAACAAAATGTAAACCTGTGACTCTTTTTTAACAAAATCCACAACAAAAACCTAGAGAAGAATAAACCTTCCAGGATGGATTATAACCATGAACAGGTACAATTATGCTCTCATGGTAGATAATGAACAATCATTGAATTATGAACACGCTACTTGAACCTCCAAGAGGAATCACGCATATGCTAGTCGGTGTCATGTTCTATGACACACAGAGTATATAAAACATAACCTATAAAAGTTAAAGGTACTTATCCAAAGTCAGGGATATTAATTAAGACCAAAACTGAAAAACCAAAGACACGAACAAGGCCACATATTTAGAGCAGCCAGTATTCGATTTACTCACATTCTTCACCACTGGTATTCACTTGGACCAAGACCTTTAAGGGCTTCCTTCCCAAGTTCCCAACCCCACGATCAAGATGATTGGCAATCTGCAAAAAACATAAATGAAGCTTCATAAATTCATAGATAAAAGATATCAACTAATAACCTTGAATAGTTAGAAAGGTCCTCAAGCAGAGCTTCGTAAATCCATAAAATGCAAGCGTTCATAAGAAAGGCAATACCTTTTCATCATCCACACTCTCTACCATATCAAGGTTTGGTACACTAGCTGCGCAACACACAAACCCATCAAAAAACACAAGAAAACACCACAACCCAGAATTTGAAAACCAACAAATACAACAAATGAACCATACCCAGTAAAGGTTTCACTTTATTGCTCTGCAAATTCCCAATGAAATGCCACTCTATATCCTCTGGCAACTGCATTATTCAATTACCAAATTCAACCAAAACAGTTCACATCTTTAATCAGTCCCCACTACCATGATTATTTAACGCAAATTAACAAAAAAGATTGACAATTTAAGAACCTGGGGAGCCTTTTCTATGAATTCTTGAACGTAGTTTTCGCCAAAGCAACGGTGACCCACATCGTAGACTTGTTTTATTAGAGAGACTGGTTTGGTCTTGCTGACAGCCACCACTCTGACCTGCTGGGACCCACGAGCTGCCTTCTCTGCTGCTTGAGACACCCGCTGAAGCACTGATCGGAGCGCCGCGGCTGCCACTTTGTCCATAGCTGCAGATGTTCCTGACATGTCAGAAACTTGTCCTTCTTCATGTTTTGTGCTACCGTTATTATCTGTGGTGGTGGGTTCTTCTTCGTCTTGACTGTTCATTTTTTTGTGGTCTCTCTTATCTTTTGGTTTCTGGTTGGGAAAAGTGCTAGCTAGATTATTGGTATGAAACGTTGCGTTTTAGAGTTTTTCTTTACAATTATTTTATTCATTTTTATTAATTCTGTTTTCTTGTAAATTAGCAAAGAAAAGCAGCAAACAGTTGAATTTTTCATCCCATTAATGGCATTTTTGTGAATTATAATAATGCGTGAACTTTAAAAAACTACTTAGAGTATATAAATTTTATTTTATTTTTTTAACGATCTTTGCTGTTAAATTATATTTTTGATCTTACGTTGCTAAAGGAAACTTTTTTTATATTGTTTTAAATTAGATTTTTACATTATTTCATAGTCTTTGGAAATCAGAAAACATGATCAGAAAGTGATTGTAGCTAAGGGCTAGTCTTTAGCCTAGTAATTGAAACAGATTAATGGAGTACGTTGGAAAATCAAAGCGTTTTGCCTTCGGTATGTTAAAGCTTTATTTGACAATACAAAGAACATAACAAAAATTACTACAAACCAAATACATCACTGAAAACCTTACAAGTATGATTTCTCTGGTGATTATTAATACTACTTTCACCAGCATCAACTTCATCTTCCACCTCGAACCCTCCTTTGGCCTTGCCTGAACCTTCTCCTATGCTTTCTTGCTCGCCTTTCCAGATCACTGAACCATTTGATTCTCATCTGACTGAATATTGTATATCCAATAGAAAAACCAATTACTAGTCCACTTGCATATCCCATCCCCACAATTTTCCAATCAAGTATGTACTTTGTCCATGAATCATCATCGTTAGCAAGTACTGGGGGAGGCATCGGTGCTGCACCAACACCGCATTTCCTTGTCAGAGGAGGCCCACATAATCTTGGGTTCCCTTCATAGGAAGTGTTTGGAAATGTACCGAACTGGTTGCCTTGAGGAATGCTTCCCTCCAGTTGGTTGTATGAGAGATTCATTACTGCAAGGAAGGTTAGGCCTGTAAGTTGCGAAGGAATCTCACCTGAGAGTTTGTTGTTTGACAGGTCTAATGACTCCAGCTCTGTTAGGTTCCCCATTAGTGATGGGATTTTGCCATTGAAGCTATTGTGAGACAAGTTTAGAACTTTGAGTGATTTGAGGTACCTTATCTCTTCAGGAATTTCTCCATGAAATCTGTTTTGAGACAGATCAAGACAAGTGAACATGGTCAGTATTCTCTCCATTGACATTTCCAATCCCTTGTTCATGATAGTCACGGACTCCTTATAGTAGTTGTTGTAGAGGTAGTTATCTCCGACATACGTTGGCTTTGATTCATTGTTGCTAGCCACTTGCATTGCTGCTAGGCTTTGAACAAATTCTTTTGAAAGATGACCAGTAAATTCATTGGAAGATAGGTCCAGAACATGCAGCATTGGCATAATGTTCGCAAGGCCAAAATTCCCAATATCACCATGAAATTTATTTGCTCGCAGTACAAGAATCTTCAATGCAGGCAGCTTTTCCAACCACGTTGGGAATGCATCACGTATCATGTTGTCTCCCAGGTCCAAAACCTCCAGCTTTGAACAATTGGCGAAGGATCTTGGCAACTTTCCTTCGATTTTATTACCATTGATTTTCAAGGACTGCAAATTGCCTGCTTGTGAAAAACCTGGCATGCTAGTGAAGTTATTTCTCTGAAGGTTTAGCACGTTGAGGGATGGAATATGTTCCAAACAATCTGGGATTTGACTACCTAGGTGGTTATAGGACATGTCGAGCAAAGAGAGTTTACTGAAATTGCATATAGCTTTAGGGAATGAACCGTGGAATAGATTGGCATGAAGATCAAGACTTTTTAAGGAAGTGACCGAGATGGCTGCTGGTGAAGTTTGGTCAAAAGAATCAAGAGAGTTCTCAGAAAGGTTTAGCTGTCGTAGACTTGTAATATTCCATATCCAGTTGTGTATTTTACCTCTGAGTTTGTTGTCAGAAAGATCTAGATTTATCAAACTGTTTTGTGCTCTGAGGAAATTTGGAAATTCAGTGAAGTTGCAGGATCTCAATACCAAAAATTCAAGTTGAACAGAGGCAAGACTTGTGTTATTACTTTCAATCGATACACCAGAAAGGCTAAGCTCTATTAAATTCCTATGATTCTGGAAATTTCCTAGCTTCAAGGGGCCATAGAAGTTGTTATTACTGAGATCAATACCTACAAGCCACGGGAGTTCAAAGATTGACATTGGTATTGCTCCTTCAAAACTATTGTCACTCAAGTATAAGATTTCCAACAAGGAAGAAGATGCATTTGGGAACTCATGTAGCTCTCCGCTGAATTTGTTGTCTGAGAGATATAATTCAAATAAGGATGGAAGAGTGAATAATGAAGAATGTAGAATGCCATTAAATTGGTTAAAAAACAAGAGGAGGAATGCAAGATTTGGAACTCCATCCCTATGAAATGGAGGGATAGATCCACTGAAACTATTATATCCAAGATCTAGTATCTCAAGGTGGGTAAGGTTTGCAAGCGATGATGGGATAACTCCAGAAAACCTACAGCCACTGAGCAATAAATATCTCAAGGACTTGAGATTACTGATTGACCAAGGCAATTTGCCATAAAAGTTTGTCATACTAAGTGACAAGAACTGAACAGAGGCGTTTAACGAAAATTCTGGCAACTGACCTGAAAGGAGTGAATTTCCCGATATATCAATGAGCCGCAGTTCGGGCAGCAAGAAAACGCTGTTTGGAAAACTTCCAGCCAAATCACAATATGATAAGTTGAGAGATACCAAGTCAGAGGAATTTACTAGGAAATTGGGTGAAATGAAAGACAGCGGATTTCCATCAAGGTGGAGTACAGACAGAAAACGAAGCTCGGAGAGAGAGGAACAAATAGGACCAGAAAGACCACAATGAGACAGACTCAGGATTCTAAGGTTGGGAAGTAAATGAGAGATCGGCCTCACACCAGCTGCTCCTTTGTGCTGAGAGGTCTACTTTCTCTAGATTGAGCTCAACTAAAAAACTCAAATTCTGGAAAACCATTTCAAGGATTGGGCTTTCAAGTTTGAGTTCATGTGTTCCAGAAAAAGGACTCAAGTCAAGTTCAGTCACAAGACCATCACCATTACATGCAACTCCCTGCCAAGAGCAACAATCTGTTTTCAGATCCCACAACTTAGTGTCTGGAAAGTAGTCGCCCATAATCGTAAGATTTTGGCGCAGTAGAGCTAAAGCAGATCTCTGGTGATCAAGGCATTGGTGGTGGTCGTTAGTTGGTGGTGGTGGTGTTGATGATGAAGCAAGAATTATCATCTGGCACGAAGTTAGTAACAAGAAAATGCTCAAAATCAGCGAAGATTGATTAGGAACTCTCATTTTCCCACTGCATAAAAACATGGCACTAGCTGAAGACTAGAAAGAAATGTTGCCTGGCATATGCAGAGACCAAGGCTCGATGAATTTATAGGGTTGTTATACCGCATTTACCATTTCTTTAACAAAAAGCTCAAGCCATCACATCACAATTATTAGTAAATGAAGGGGCAAAAGTCAGGCGTGAGAACCAAGGACTACAATTTCCAATTTATCCCTTAAATATGATCATTAAGGGAAGAGTTAGTCTTAACATTGTAATCATACGTATTGTTGAAGAGCATAATTGAAGGTTGACTTATGGATATTACTTTTGATAAGCACAATTAAGTCAATTAAGCCATAATTTTGTGATTAACTTGGCAATCATGAAAATCTACAATGAGTAGCATCAATCCTCGTCTAACTAACACTATATAGTTTCCACACTTGTGAGATTAGATTCACTCAAAAATTACCACTGGAAAAATCCATCTATTCTATCCTATCGATGGACTTTGAAGCTCTTTGTTGATGGTTTTTGATTATATGCAAGTGGTCACACATTCAACTCTTACTTCTGCTACAAGTTTTGAACTTGAGTATGCGTTTGTATTATTATTATTTAACTCGTACGCTTAATTAATCTATTAAGATATTAAGATTTAAATCAATGACTCTTTATAAGATAACGTTATTACTAAATTACAAACTCTTTAATTTTAGTGTATGTTTATTAGGTGTACGTGTATATAAAATAAAAGAAAAAAACTATATATATTTCTCGTCTTGTGAGATTAGATTCACTGAAAAATAACCACAAGTAAAATCCATCTGCTCTATGATAACTACATATATGTAGTTCTTGCTTTTTCCCATGTTTTGGGCAGTTTAGTTTCACAGAACTGAAATCATCGTGAGTCAACTCATAAGTCTTGGTATCCATTATTTGTTTTTCTGTTCACATGATGGGAGATCCGCAAATTGGAAGGTAGTAAATAAATAAGCTTGCATGTACGTGGGGCTTCAACTCCCAACTACATTGCTTTGTTTTTCCAAAATTATGCACCGTTGTCATCAAGCCTTAAAAACCCTGATGTTAACACGTTTGCATTATCTAGCAATCAATTTTATTAGGGCTATCTCTATAAAATACATTTATTACTTCAATATCAATCTAAAATTCTTAAACTCCATATTCCATAAATAATCTTCATTACGATATCCAATATGTAATATTCAAAACCATAAAGAGAAACTCGAATTGATTTATGGTTATCTTTGGTCAACCTACTGCTATCACTTTATCATCTGATAAGGGTAATCATATTTCTACATTCTGACGATCAGCTCTCGAATTGATTTGCTACCATAAGTCAGAAACTAGAAAATCTTGTAGTGAAAAAAAGGGAGATGTTGATGGATATTTACTGAGTAGAGATGAATATTATGGCTATCGCATTAGCCCTGTATATACGTGACAATGAGTTGAGTATAAAATGAATATTTGCTTTATCCGACCTAATAAATATTCATTAAGAAAGTTCAATGTGTATTGAAATGAGTAAGGATAAAAATATATATTTTCATTAATATGATTCTAGGGTATGAGTATCCACATTTTATCCTATTAATATCCACCAATTTATTTAGATATTTTTATTAACATACAAGGATCTAATTATATAAAATTTAAAATTAAGGATCAATTTTTTTCTAAAATCTTTGAGGATAAAACACTTATAAATAAATGATTAAAATGCACAAAAATTTAAATTTTAAGGACCGAAAAAATATTTCTTAAAAATTATAGAGACTAAAATGAATATTTTTGATAAATTAAATTTAATGGTTATTAAATAGACGAGTAAATTAATATGAATCGTGTATATCACTCTTTATCCTATTAATATCCATTAATTTATTTAGACGTTTTTATTAACATACATGGACCTAATTATATAAAATTTAAAATTAAGGATCAAAATTTTTTTCTAACATCTTTAAGGACAAAAAATAAATAAATAAATGATCAAAATACAAAAAGAAAAAAAATAAATTTTAAGGATCAAAATTTTTTTTAAAAAAAACTATAAAGGCTAAAATAAATATTTTTTTATAAATTAAATTTAATAACTATTAAATAAATAAGTAAATTAATATAATAATTTTTTAACAGATAATAAATAATTTTTTTTATAAATAAAATAAAAAATTAAATTAATGAATCACACATCCGTATATGGCGTTCATATTCATGCAAGTATACAGCGGAAATAAATGAAGATGTTGAATATTGTAATTTCTGTGTACGCAACTCGCTAAAGGATACACCTTTGAATTTTCTGCAGACAATGACTCTACAGACTCAAGTTCGATGGATGCATTAATGAATAAGACGGAATTAAATTGCAGAAGTTGACGGCTATTGACGTGGTGAAGTAAGGATTTTAGACCAACTTGAACATGACATTTATGAAGGGAGAGAGAGTAATCACAGAAGCAAGGGAGGCAACGAGAAAGAGCATAGGAGAGTGTTCGTTAAAAAATCTGAATGGTGACAATACAGAGGGGACATCAATAGTAATTAATGAAGCATATACCCAGTACAGGTTTCACTTATTAATTACCCTAAAAATTTCTAAAGAAATATCACTCTATATACATCCTCTGCCTGCAATAGATGGATTGATTACTTATTAGTCCCTATCTTTTATTTTTTCTAAAATGACCTTCATTTCTAATCAAGTTTCCAATTTTGCAAAGAAAACCAAAAGAACATTTTAAAAGGGAAATTTGTTGTTGTTGTTGTTGGTTACCACTTGGTACACGAAATAGTTGATTTTGTTTTTTAGATTAGCAACGCAAACTATTCAAAAAAAAAAAAAATTGATGAAAATTGATTAGATTAAGAAACGAGACATTTAGCGATGGCAAAAAATAAAAATAAAAATAATAATAATAATATATATATATATATATATATATATATATATATATATATATATATATATATATATATATATATATATATATATAAGCAAACTATCTACAATTATATTATTTTCTCCACTTAATTCTACTAAACTAACTGACTTCAAATTATGAGTAAATTATAAATTAGTCCCTCTTGTTTTAAGAAACAAATTAATTAGTTCTTCTGGTTTCAAAAACCAACCATTTAGTCCTTTTTATTATTTTTAATCTATCTTGATTTTTCTTTTAAGAAGTAGACAAGAAGAAAAAACAAGTAAAAATTATGAAAAAAATTGATGAGAAGAGGATATATTTTATTAATTAAAAAATATTAAATTAATTGTGATTAAAACTGATTAAATGGATTAAATAATTGGGTTTAGAAAAAAAGGAAGACTAATTAATTTATTTTTCGAAAAAAGAGGGACTAATTTATAATTTAGTCTTCAAATTGATTGGATGTTGACTCAAGTTGTAGTTATATTCGATGGCTGTTATTGATTGACCGAAGACTAAAATTGATTGGATGCCATAATGTAGAAACCTGAAGGAATCAAACATCGATCAGGGATTGAGAAACTTCTTGTTCCTAATAAGAAATAAGGAGTAGGAAATACAGAAGAAAAATTAAATTCGAGATTCTGAAGGTTACTGACAGAATTAATTGATGGAGGTCAAGTTGATGTGAAAGAATAATATGGCCTAGCCCCCTTTACCCCAGCCAAGCCCAGTTTTTCAAGATCAAGCCCAGACCAGAGCAACCGACAAAGAAATCCTCAGCTAAGGCCCAGTCCAGTAGCATTTAACTTGAACCACCCATCAGAAACACAATAGCCCAATCCAATACAACAGCTTGGTTACTCATCAGCTACGGCCCAGTCCTTGAGACGTATTATGAATGACTTCCAACTATCCGCTTTGGATGTTGCACGAGATGGTGTTGTAACGTATTATGAATTTCCTCGGAGATCATAGTGTTTAAGCAAATCACGTGTACCAAACCGAATCTTCTAGTCTCATAGTCCTTGAGCTCTCAAACACAGAGATGATCAGAAGGGACTGGACCATAGGTATTAGTAAAGATCTGCATGAACCGAAAAATCCTTGGCTTACACCCAAGACGGCAACTCAATCAACGACCGAAGAATTGATTATTATTGTTAGGAATGTTCTCGGGCAATGGGAGTAGTCTAAATTCGGATCCATCAATGAAAATTCTTAGACCATCACTGAAGGGATCATAAGCTAGCAACAACATCAGTACCTCTGTGAAACAACATTGGTAAAGGAAAAATTATATTGGGGACTCAACAGAAGAGGTTCATTCCATTGTCCAGTCTCAGAACAATATAAATCCGCCGAGAAATAGTGCTTTTCCACCATAGTAAAGCATACTGCACAAAATCGACTTTCATATTGTTGTCCTTGAACCCATCTCTGATAATTTGGCTCACAAACCAATCCAAAATATTGTCCAGGCATATCATTTCTTTCTGGAGGTGGACATAAGAGACGCCATTGCCTAGCGAAGGGATTGTTGAAGGGAGAGGAATTCTAGAGGAGAAATATTTTAACACTCATTTTGTTTCCACTTACAGTCAAATGCCAACACACGAACCATAATTAATAACCTATACATGAACCACAATAAATACTAAGTATATGAACCATCTCATACAAAGCACATACACTCACCATGAACTTAAATCACCTAAAACATCAAAAGACACATGTATTAGTCATAAGAAAAATCTAAAAAATTCAAATTATTTATTTTCAACACTCCCCCTCAATTTGAAATTTTCTTCTTCACTCCAAGTCTTGCTCTTAATCTTAAAAAATCTTCAAATTTGAGTGGCTTTGTTAAAATATCAGCACTTTGATCATGAGTCGAGCTCCACTTCTTTATTGTCAATGCTTTCTCTAATGAAATGATACCTTGTGTCTATATGCTTGCTTCTATCATGAAACAGTACTGGATTCTTAGCAAGTGCTTGTGCAGACTTGTTGTCAACGCAAATTTATTTAGCTTCTTCTTGTGAAAAATGCAGTTCCTTCAACAATCTTCTTAGCCAAATAGCATGACAAGTACAAGTGGTTGCTGCCACATACTCAGATTCACAAGTTGAAAGTGTAAGGTTGCTGCCACATACTCAGATTCACAAGTTGAAAGTGTAACAATGGGTTGCTCAATGTAGACCTCTTCTTAAAATAACTATTTAGGAAAGCTGACTTTACATCAAGTTGATAGATTCTCCACTTCATTTGAGCCACCAATGAAATGAGCAAATGAATGGTTTCCATATGGGCAACGGGAGCCTAAACCTCTTCATAGTCAACTCCATGCTTTTGCTTGTAGCCTTTAGCAACAGTTCTCGCTTTGTATCTCTCTACTTCTCCATCAGCATTCTTCTTTGTGTTGCACACCCACTTGACTCCAATAGCCTCATGATCCTTGGGAAGAGTTGTTAACACCCAAGTATTGTTCTTCTCAATTGCTTTGATCTGTTCATCCGTGGCTTGTTTCCTCCTACTATCTTTCGTAGCTTCACGAAAGTTTAATGGCTCACCATCTGCAAAAAGACAACGACAATGTAAGTCATTAAAATCAAAATTAACTTCTTTTGTGCTAGTTTTTACTTGCTTTAAGCATAATTTTCAAACAGTGACAATCTCTAAATTACACATCTATTCAATGAAGGACAACTTTGTGCTAGTTCCACATGGTTTCTGGAATTTGAAGGTCATCAGCTAGAGAATATCTTTAGCAATGATGCTACTGAGTTCTAAAATTTGTCTGGGAAAGGACATTACCAGAAAAATTCATTCCAAACAAAATGCATGTAAAGCATAAACCACCTGCCAATAGCAACCAATTATGGCAGTAAAATGAAAAGTTAGTCCAGGCACCAGAGTGGAACTTTGTAAGTATCATTTGTATATAGCCATTTGGCAAGTAAGTTGATGAACATACTGAACAAGCAACCAATGAGTGTCATTCAGCTGTTCAATCTACATATAGATTAGACTAAGCTTTCTTGTAATCTATCCATCAAAGGTTATAGCAGATTTTGTTGCAACAATATGACAGAAATAAACAAGAGAAAAAAATAAACTGCTCTTCAAAGATCTTTGAAGTAGTAAAATTTTACAACTAATAGAATGTCTTGGTTAAGAAATTCACACAGAATGAGAGCAAATTGTTGAAAATTGAACAATCAAGTTGCCTCAAGAACAAATTGGCTCCCAACCATGACTGAACAATAATGACAAGACTTTTAAGCTGGTATCAGTTGATAAACAGAACTAGATCCCTGAGGTGTAACAAGCTGCATGGTACGAAAGCCACAGAGGATATTTATGGTGGCAAAAATTCTCATGTACTTGCTTTATGGAGGAAAAGGCACTCCTGAATGATAATAGATTTATGACTCAGAGGTGGTAGCATGAGGAGCAGCATCAGAATCTACTGAGCCACTAAATAGTAGGACAGAGATCAGTATAAATTCAACCAACGAAGTTAAGGCATCACACCAGATTAAAATCGAACTCCAATGCATGTAACTCATGACTACTTGCTCCACATCGGAACAAAGGTACGAGCTTTTCTTTCAAGTGCAAAAACCTTAGGGAATGTCTTATATATAAGCCATGCACTAAACAGAACAAAATGTAAACCTAGTGAAGAATAAACCTTTCAGGATGGATTATAACCATGAACAGGTACGACTATGCTCTCATGGTAGATGATGAACAATCATTGAATTATGAACATGCTACTTGAACATCCAAGAGGAATCACACATATGCTAGTCGATGTCATGTTCTCTGACACACATAGTATATAGAACATAACCTATAAACAATTAATGATTTAATGGTACTTATCCAAAGACAGCTACATTAATTAAGATCATAACTGAAAAACCAAAGACATGAACAAGGCCACATATTTATAGCAGCCAGTATTCAATTTACTCACATTCTTCAACACTGGTATTCACTTGGACCAAGACCTTTAAGGGCTTCCTTCCCAAGTTCCCAACCACGCGATCAAGATGATTGGCAATCTGCAAATAACATAAATGAAGCTTCATAAATCTATAAATAAAAGATATCAAATAATAACCTTGACTTGTTAGAAAGGACCTCATGTAGAGCTTCGTAAATCCATAAATGCAAGGGTGCATAAGAAAGGCATTACCTTTTCATCATCCACACTCTCTACCATATCAAGATTTGGTACACACTAGCTGCACAACACACAATAACCCATCAAAAAACACAAGAAAACACCACAACCCAGAATTTGAAAACCAACAAAGGCAACAAATGGGCCATACCCAGTAAAAGTTTCACTTTATTACTCTGCAAATTCCCAATGAAATGCCACACTATACCTCTGGCAACTGCATTATTCAATTACCAAATTTCAACCAAAACAGTTCGCGTCTTTAATCAATCACCACTACCAGGATTATTTAACACAAATTAACAAAAAAGATTGAAAATTTAAAAACCTAGGGTGTTTTTTCTATGAATTCTTGAACGTAGTTTCGCCAAAACAACGGTGACCCACATCGTAGACTTGTTTGATTAGAGAGACTGGTTTGGTCTTGCTGACAGCCACCACTCTGCTCTGCTGGGACCCACGACCTGCCTTCTCTGGCCTTTTTTTGGTGGTCTCTCTGAGCTTTTGGTTTCTGGTTGGTGAGAGTGTGAGACTGCTAGCTAGATAATGGGTATGAAACGTTGCGTTTTAGAGGATTTCCTTACAATTATTTTATTCCTTTTTATTAATTCTTTTTTCTTGTAAATTAGCAAAGAAAAGCAGCAAACAGTTGAATTTTTCATCTTGTCAAAAAAAATATATAATAAATAAATAAATTTATCTGAAGAAAAATTTTCATTTTATCCCATTAATGGCATTTTTGTGAATTATAATAATGCAATGAGAGAATGTTACATCTTGAATGCATGAACGTTAAATAACTACTTAGAGTATATAAATAGAAATAGATAATTACATTATAAATATAATAATTTTTAAAAATTCTCTAGTATATAATTTTTTTTTCGATCTTTGCTGTTAAATTATATTTTTGATCTTACGTTGCTAAAGGAAACTTTTTTTATATTGTTTTAAATTCGATTTTTACATTATATTTTTTTATCAGAAAGTGATTGAAACAGATTAATGGAGTACGCTGGAAAATCAAAGCGTTTTGCCTTGGGTATAAATTAAAGCTTTATTTGACAATAACAAGAACAGAACAAAAATTACTACAGACCAAATATATCTCTCGTACATTTAAGCATAAGCCAAAACAACAAGAGCCACTCCATTCCTGGTGATTCAGAAAACCTTCCAAGTACGATTTACATGGTGATTATTAATACTACATTCACCAGCATCAACTTCAACTTCCACTTCGAAGCCTCCTTTGACCTTGCCTGAACCTTCTCCCATGCTTTCTTCCTCGCCTTTCCAGATCACTGAACCATTTGATGCTCATCTGACTGAATATTGTATATCCAATAGAAAAACCAATTACTAGTCCACTTGCATATCCCATCCCTACAATTTTCCAATCAAGTATGTACTTTGCCCATGAATCATCATCGTTGACAAGTACCGGTAGAGGCATCGGTGCTGCATCAACATTGCCTTTCCTTGTCAAAGGAGGCCCACATAATCTTGGGTTCCCTTCATAGGAAGTGTTTGGAAATGTACCGAACTGGTTGCCTTGTGGAATGCTTCCCTCCAGTTGGTTGTATGAGAGATTTATTACTTCAAGGAATGTCAGGCCCGTAAGTTGCGGAGGAATTTCCCCTGAGAGTTTGTTGTTTGACAGGTCTAATGACTCCAGCTCGGTTAGGTTCCTCATCAGTGACGGGATTTTGCTGATGAAGCTATTGTTAGACAAGTTTAGAACTTTGAGTGATTTGAGGTGCCTATCTCTTCAGGAATTTCTCCATGGAATCTGTTTTGAGACAGATCAAGACAAGTGAACATGGTCAGTATTCTCTCCATATGCATTTCCAATCCCTTGTTCATAATAGTCACCGACTCCCTATAGTGGCGATGGTAGTAGTAGTAGTTGTAGTCATCTCCGACATACTTTGGCTCTGATTCATTTTCGCTAGCCACTTGCATTGCTGCTAGGCTTTGAACAAATTCTCGGGATAGATGACCAGTAAATTCATTGGAAGACAGGTCCAGAACATGCAGCATTGGCATAATGTTCATAAGACCAAGATTCCAAAGTTGACCATGAAATTTATTTGCTCGCAGCACAAGAATCTTCAATGCAGGCAGCTTTTCCAACCACAGCGGGAATGCATCACGTATCCTGTTGTCTCCTAGGTCCAAAACCTCTAGCTTCGAACAATTGGCCAACGATCTTGACAACTTTCCTTCGATTTTATTGCCATTGATTTTCAATGACTGCAGATTGCCTGATTGTGAAAAACCTGGCATGCTAGTGAAGTTATTTCTCTGAAGGTTCAGCACGCCGAGGTTTTGCATATCTCCCAAACAATCTGGGATTTGACTACTTATGTGGTTATAGGACATGTCGAGCAAAAGGAGTTCACTGAAATTGCATATAGCTTTAGGGAATGAACCATGCAATAGATTGTCATGAAGATCAAGAGTTTTTAAGGATACGACTGGGAAGGTTGCAGGTGAATTTTTTTCAAAAGAACGAAGGGAGTTCTCAGAAAGGTTTAGACGCCATAGACTTGTAAAATTCCATATCCAGTTGGGTATTTGACCACTGAGTTTGTTGTGCGAAAGATCAAGTTCTCCTAAGTTGCTCTGGTTCTTTAGAAACTCTGGAAAGCTACTTAACTCACATGAACGCATTCTCAAATTACTTAACAGCAGAAAGGAAGAAGTTGCATCACAATTGAAGATCGACCTGCTATTGTTTAGGATGCAAAAAGGAGGATATTTGAGAAAATCAATAGGATTGTGGGAAAGGTCTAACGTGTAGAGATTTTTTTTCCATATCCAACTGGGTACATAACCTTTAATTTGGTTGTTGGAAAGATCTAGATAAGTCAAACTGTTTTGTGCTTTGAGAAAATTTGGAAATTCAGTAAAGTCGCTGGATCTCAATGCCAAAGCTTCAAGTTGGACATAGGCAAGACTTGTGTTATCACTTTCAATTGATACACCAGAAATGCTAAGTTTTTTTAAATTCCTTTGATTCTGGAATTTGCGTAGTTTCAAGGAGCCGTAAAAGTTGTTACTACCGAGATCAACATCTACAAGCCATGGGAGTTCAAAGATTGACCTTGGTATTGGTCCTTCAAAACTATTTTGACTCAAGTCTAAGAATTCCAACAAGGAAGAAGATGCATTTGGGAACTCATTTAGCTCTCCGCTGAATTTGTTGGATGCGAGATCTAATACCTCTAAGGAAGGAAGAGTGAATAGTGAAGAACAAATAGGACCAGAAAGAGCACAATGAGACAGACTCAGGACTCTAAGGTTGGGAAGTAAATGAGAGATGGCTTCACACCAGCTGCTACTTTGTGCGGAGAGGCCTACATCATCTAGACTGACTCTGACTAAAAAACTCAAATTCTGGAAAACCATTTCAAGGATTGGGCTTTTAAGTTTAAGTGTTGCAGAAATAGGACTGAACAAGACAAGTTCAGTCACAAGACCGTCACCATTACATACAACTCCCATCCAAGAGCAACAATCTGTTTTCAGGTCCCAGTCCCACAACTCAGCTTCTGGAGAATAATCGCCGATAATCATAAGGTTTTGGTGCAGTAGAGCCAAAGCAGATCTCTGGTTATCAGCTTGTGGTGGTGTTGATGATGAAGCAAGAATATTTATCATTTGGTACAAAGTGAGTAACAAGACAATGATAAAAATCAGTAAAGATTGATTAGGATCTATCATGTTTCCACCAGAGAAAAAATGGTAGTGGCTTATAAAGATTAGAAAGAAATGTTGCATGAGCTATGCAGAGACAAAGAGTTGATGAATTTATAGGCTGGTTATACTGGGTTTGCCATAATGTTTTCCCTCTAATTTTCCGCGTTCCCACTGTATTTAACTAAAAGCTTAATAGGTCAAATTGATCTCAATCAACTTCACCTAAAACTTTTTTTATTTTTTTCCTTTTCCTTTTAACCCGGCCGCTAAGGTCGATCCGATCAATTTGAAGAAACAACAAAGGAGAAAATTTAATTCAAATAATTAATTGTTAATTTTACTCTTGATTTTAATTTCAAAATCTTAGCTAACGAAAAAAAAGGATATTAATGTAATTTTCTTAGCTAGTAATCGTTTATATATTTTCTTTCCCATTTCTTCTCATTAGCCAAAAAAAAAAAAAACTTTTCCATCCTCAACTTTCTTTGCTGTCTACATTTATCTTGTTTTTCTCTTCAAAGTGTAACCATAAAGTAAGTGTTATTATTTACTTCATGAGTATTTTAAAATTTCTCTTTACTCCAGAATATGCACCTCAAATTCTATTCAAGATTGAAGGAGGCATTGAAATAATTATTTTCTTTATTTGGAATGTGTAACAAAAATGCATAGATTGTGGGCGCACAAAAAAAAAAAAAAAAAAACAACAACAACAACTTAGGCATTCAAATAGAAGAATTTACAAGTTGAAAGCTTAAAAAAATAATAACAAAAAAAAAAAAAATTAGGTACTCGAATTATTGTTTTCTCAAACAAGAGAAAACAAGAATTATCATTTAGTACAAAGTTAGTTATAAGAAAATGATAAAAGTCAATGAAGATTGATTAGGATCTCTTTTTTTTTTTTTTTCCCACTATAGAAAAATGGCACAAGCAAAGACCAAGACTTGTTTGATGAAAATTGAGTGATCACAAGAGAAAGCTTGGTATTTTCCAAAATTGATCTCCAATCAAGATATCACCGAGTTAAGAATTAAGGAGGACAATGTAATAACAAAAAAAAAAAGCTTTTAGAATTCGATATAGGCATTATGAATTTCTAGTGATACCTTTCGAATTAACTAATGCACCGATAGTATTCATAGAGTTGGTGAATAGGGTTTTTCATGAATACTTGGATAAGTTTATAATTGTGTTAATTGATGATATCTTGATATATTCAAGAAGTCACAAAGAACATGCGGAACACCTAAGAAAAGCACTACAAACCTTATGAGAGCATAAATTGTATGCTAAACTCAAAAAATGTGCATTTTGGCTCGAGCAAGTAGCATTCCTTGGACAAGTAGTATCCAATGATGGGATTATGGTAGATTCCAATAAAGTGCAAGCAATGTAAGAATGGAAGTAGTTGAAGAACATTTTCGAGGTAAGAAGTTTCCTTGGAATTGTAGGCTATTACAAGAAATTCATAGATGGATTTTCCAAAATAGTCGCACCTCTCACTCGACTTACGAGAAAAAATACTAAATTTGAGTGAGATGATGAATGTGAAAGGAGTTTCCAAGAGTTAAAATTCAAGCTAATTACAACATCCGTATTAGCTCTTCCAAAAGATAATGAGGATTTCATAGTCTACACCGATGCCTCTCAAATTGGATTAGGGGCAATCTTGATGCGAGGATGGAAGAGTAATTGCTTATGCATCTTGACAATTAAAAGACTAAAAAAGAATTACCCCACTCATGACCTAGAATTAGTCGTTGTTATCTTTGCCTTAAAAATTTGAAAGCACTACTTGTACAATGTTCGATATAATATCTACACCGATCACAAGAGCTTTAAGTATATCTTCACCCGTAAAGAATTAAATATAAGGCAAAGAAGATGGCTTAAAGTTCGAACGATCATGACAACATTTTCCATTACCATTTCGGTAAAACGAATGTCATGGCTAATGCTTTGAGCAGGAAGTTAGTGGTAGTTTTACAAGTGAAAATTACACAAGACATGGACAAAATTCAACTGGAAGTAGTGTCCAAGAGAAGTAAATTTATATTTGATTGAGCAAGCATTAAGATTATATACATTGAGAATGTTGAGAATTGATGATGTTGTGTGTAGAGTTTGAATGCTTGCGTGAGGATGGTTGACATTCATGCTATTGGATTGTATATAATCTTCTCACCAAGCAAGTTGAAAAGCTCATACCACCACAACTATAGTTTTGTAGGTCTTGGATTCAAGAGCTCATTGGTTGTTCACTCCTTTTGTTTAGACAAATTATACATGTTATAGGTGCATTTTGAAGTTAGATTACTCTCGAGCTCTGCAAATTCCACCTACCTATGGCCAGCTTGTATATATTTGGTCATGTGTAGTTTGTATAATTATATAAGACAGATAAAGAATTTAGTAGTTGCAATTAACCCTTGTATCTTTGTTTTTCATATATATAAATTATAAGATGAGTTTTGCTTTTATGAAATGGTAATATATATGATGATAAGTATCAAAGTAGTTCAAGTTGGAATGGGCCTAGTGAATGGCTCGAAAGGTTAGTGTAATTCTTGTCATAAATAAGTTAAAGTGTTGTACTCTGAAAGTTGCGACCAAGTGGATGTAGGGTTGTGACAGATTGGGTTCCTGAGTTTAAAGTAATCATAACTAAAACGCAAGTCAAGTTGAGTGACATGACCAACATCATCACATGTATTACTCCCTTCCAAGACTCAGCTTTTGAATAAGATTATGTAGTGAAGGAATGGTTAAGAAGGTTTTCTTGCAGTTGTACAAAGGAAGATCTCTGGTGATAAAGGCATTGGTGGTGCATAACTTTTGGAGTTGTAGATAAAGATGAAGCAAGACTACTTGCCTGATACATAGAGAGTAACAAGAAAAGGAAGAAGAGTAAATGATTAATATCTCTCATCATTGTTTTCCTCTACAGAAAAACTGCTATTAGCGGAATTTGATACTTGATAGTCTTAATGATTGGAAATATATAGCAGAGGAAACTCTAGTTGAACAAAATTAAGGATTACAGAACAGATTGCACTAAAATTTTCACACTTCTACCTAGTAAACTATGTCTAGATTTTCCAAGTGACTACTTATGACTCAAATTGAATATTGTAGAATGGAGAAAATAATGGACATTGAGCCACAATGCGTCAATATTAAATATATAGAGCAAGATATAGAGGAGTAATGTTGATAGCTATTGGCCAAAGTTTGAGGTCAAGTTGGTAACCATGATAAAAAAGAATTGGGCACTGCTTGGATGGCGGGAGAATTGTGGACTAGTTAGTGCACCAAATTTCTCAAACCTTAGATTTGATGGAGATGTTGAAGAATTTTGTATTGACTAGTGTGAAAGTTAGCGCAGAGCAAATAGAAATCAATCTTTGTGAAACTTAATTGATTCAACAATCAAATCATTACATTTAAGAAGAGCATATCACCCACTATAAGTTCTTTGAGTTACGAATCGAGGAAGGTCATTGGTGCTATGTTTTTCTGTGTTAACTTGGGATTTTCTAACCATTGGTGTTGCTGATTGAATGTTGGCTAAGGTCATATGCACTAGCAAGGTAAACAAAATTTTTGATGATGACTTCATGGCTAGGGACCTTTGAGCTTGGGAGTGTGAGGTAATTACAAATAATGATGCTAGCTTGTTGGTGAAGAGAGGGAAGATACTGTGAAGTTATTTATAGAAGCTATATGCGGAAAATTTCCATTTTTTTCCATAATGGATGTCTTTTTCTCCAGTGGCCAAAAATGTAAAGTAATTTACAGAATTTGGTCCAAATATTGATTTTTCCGTAGCTAAGATGGAAAAATAGGAAATTGGGAAGAAGAGAAGAACCTAAAATGTGAAGGATAGAAAAGCACGCATGGTGTATCAACTCATAGATAAGTCCGGGGTTTTTCCCCAGTTTAGACCAATTCAAAGCCCACAGGCTGCAGCCCACATTGCTAATAAGCTTTAGAGCATCAATTATGCAAAGACCCAAAACTTTCATATGTGACAAAAAGGTCCCATGCATCATGAGTTGCAACATTACTTTATTGTATTTTATTTTTTATTTTAAGTTAAATGGATTAAAATGTTTAATTTATTTAAAATCGAATTTTTAAACTTCAAATTTAGTTTTTAAGATTCATAAAGTTTTGCTTTTTTTAGATTTAGTTCATATTTCAGTTTTTTTGTCATTTATCTCAAAAAAAAAAAAAAATCACATAAATAGTTTTGTTATGAATATCAATCATCATGTGAGAAATACATAGGGCTTCTCAAAAAATTGAGATCATTCAAGGTTTTTTTTTTTTTTTTTTTTTTATTTTTAATGTTAATAAATAAATAAATATTTTTTTTATTTTAAAAAATTTTGGAATTTTTCCAGCAAATGAATTGAATGTTTTCTAATGTGTGTCCAAAATTTCAGTTTAAAATACTAAGAATTAAATTTTTTTTTATAGAAAAAGGTCATAACTGAAAATCTTTAGGTAGATTAAATCTTAAAAAATTAAAGTTCAGAAATGCCAAAAAATTAAATTTAAAGTTTAAAAACGCAATTTTAAATAAGTTAAAGTTCAGAAAAAGGTTTGTTCCATTTAGTTTTTTATTTTATTTAATCCTCCATCAACTTCTCCTTTGATAGTTGCCAATAATATTACGTGATAAAAAGAAATGAAGCCTGACTTGCGTAGGCAACTGACTATTATGCAGCAATTACTTCCTTTCTTATTAACTTGCATTAGGAAGAAACAACTTCATCCTGTGTACGTATCTTCCTTATGCACATGCTTAGTTTGATCCTAATATATAAGATGCTTGTGGTTTTGCTAAGAGTTGAAGCAATTGTCTGATATGCTAAACCATTGATCAGGGAATGCACCTTTGACTTTTTTGCTATATTAATTATGTATCACTTTTCTCTTTCTTTAATTTAGGT